GTTCCAGCCTTTCTTGCTGATTCAAATCAAGGTGTACAGAGGATCATCTGAAAAAACAAAACCGCAATGTAATGTCGGGAAGAGTTCACAGACACCAGTCATTATTCCCTACAGTGACCTATTAGCAGTCAGAAAGCAAAAACATGTCCAGAAAAGTTCACTTTAGGAGGGGAAAGCCCAAATCGTTTACTTAGAAAATACTTTGAATTTTTCAGGCCAGTCCCATAGCGTTGGTGCACAGGGTGTCAAGTGGCATCTGTACATGGAACTCTTTCCAAACCTTTTTGTCATTTTTTTCCCAAGCCTCGGCAGCTCTCATTAAAAGACTGCAACAGAATTTTACACAGCATACCATTTAATCTTACACTTCACAGCTTCATCATAGCTTTCCAGACCTTGAGAGGCTCGGTAAAATTTGGGCCAATCCTTTCCATTTTTGGACTCCACAGGTAGGCCTAATTCAACTGCCAAAAACATCAAAATTTCACATTTTTCCCAAAGTCCTCCAAGAAGTGGCTCTTCAACCCTTTGGGTACAAAGAAGACTTACGGCGGAAGAAAACTTGGGAAGTGCATATCTGACCTTGGACTTTGCAGCTATACGAACTATGCTTTCTTTTGCATTTGTATTGTCACAACTGAAAATTAACAGTAAGCCCGACTTCGAAACTTCACTGTACACATTTGTATCTTGTTTTGATGCATAAATTTTGCAGGATGTGTATACTCCGTCAATATTATGGGCCACAAAATGATTTTCTTGGAAAGAGTTCTATATTCAGACGCCACTCGACACCCTGTGCACAAACCCTATGAGACTGGTCTGAAAATTTCTAAGTATTTTCTATGTTTTCTGTTTTTTTTCCCTGCTAACTTGAACTTTGCTGGACATGTTTTTGCTTACTGTCGGCTAATAGGACACTGTAGGGAATAATTACTGGCGCTGGTATAAAGAACTCTTGCAAAAATTTACAGCCATAAACTTCCCAAATTACCTTTGCTTCCTTAGGAAGTCTTGTTTTTACACAAAGGGTTAAAGAGCCATTTTTGGACGATTTTGAGAGAAAACTTGGAAATTCAAGAGGCCCATACCCAGACATCACTAGACATGCTTGACACCCTGTCGCAAACCTCATAGCCCATGTAGACTGGTCTGGAAAATCGAGCGTTTCCAAATAAAATGCTCCACTATTTTCACAGCTAAATGTGACGTTTTAAAGACATTACATCACTTTCTAAATAGCTAATAATCTACTGCAAGGGACAATTAGTGATGTCCACACACGATACATGGAACTCACCCCCCCCCACCAAATTTGGCCTATGAAACGAAGTGAACGAGTCATAGTCGAAATTTCATTTCGTGCTGAAAAACAAACGGTGTTTCGAACCATAATTATCCATAATTATTTCAGTTTACATTTTACAACAGTAACATGCTGCTTCCACCTATGGAGGGTCAAAACTGCACCATTCCAGGCTCAAAAACAGCGGACTTACTTTGGATGTCAAGATGGCTGGGAGTAAAGCTCCTTCCTCGATGCCCGCGAATTTACGAATGCGCGCGTCACCCCACGTGTTGAGGTTATTGTCATGCAATTACACTGGTTCCCGTTCCTGAAATCACTCTTATTTTGAGTGCATTGCTGCGGAAACCAATCATTGCGCAGTTGAAATTCGATGGAGTGGGTAACTCTGTTTGCAGAATAAAAGTTTAATAGGCCAATAATTTCATTTATTTATTTAATCATTCATTTTTAATTTATTGGATTATAACCCACAGCTTTGAATGATAAATTTTACAAAGAGAAAATAAAATGGAAATCTTAATATCACACACGTAAGATTTACATCTGGATTACGAACAGCGCCCCCTGGGTGTAGAGTACCGGCGCGATCACAGAAAGGAAAGTGTCTTTAACTACATATATAAAAGGCGTAAGCTCTGGCCAGTATTCGATTCGTCCTGGAAATATCATGGATAACAGTTTACGACTGATTTTTTAAGGGTTCTTTTTATTTTTATTTCATGTAACCTTCCAACCCTGCAAATTTCATGCATGTTTGTCAATTTAAAATGACTGAGAGGGAAATGAAATTGTGTGCAATTGACGAAAAGATGCATGGCGCGGTAAACATAATCCTCCACTTTCAGAAAAGTCAGTGAATTGTTTTTTAACCATCCACAAGTTTTTGATATCGAAAACAAAAACTTGGCATGTTCAAGTTATATATACTTATTAACAGCCAGTATGGGGGACTGTACCATGCAGATGCAAGAAACTCTACGTGGACCGCGCCCCTCGTGAAATGGAGTGCCACGCCCTTGCCAAAATGCCAAGTTTTATCAACTTTCTCAAAGATAATGATGTTGGAAGCGTTATTTTGGCATGTTTGAGCAGTCCACTGGGGCTGAAACTGAAGAATAGCTGCTCCCATAACACCAACACTGAAGGTTTATATCATTAGCGAATGAGAGAACGTGTTGTTAACAATAGTCTTCCTACCCCAATGGTTTTCAAATGAGTTTTTAAAGGTCAATTGCAGAGGAAATTTCTGTAAAACATCCCGTCACATTCATTTGGGAAACCACTGTGCCGTGTGAACTTTCTTTGATGACTTTTTAAGAATACTATCCAAATAAATGGTCACAATTGTTTCAGATAGATACATTTTATTGTTCTATTATTCTCGGATAACACACAAAACAGTCTTGCAATGGAGACGGAGGTTTGATTTTTTTGGCATAGATTTCCCAGCAACTGTTTTATTTCCTTTGTATTCATGGTGCTTATAGGCCTTCGAGAACTTCTGCAGCTTACCAAAATGGGTACGTCTGCCCAACTGAAGAGCACAGGGTATGCTTGCCCGAAATACTGGGCGTGCTTGCCGAATCCTTGCCAAACTTGGCAGCCGTGCACCCAAATCCTTCTTAGCCTTGTATTTTAATCAAATTTTTACCACCGATTGACTTTTTTTTCAAACTGCTTCGAAATGATTGCTGGTGGCCCGTAACATGTTCTAAGGACCAAGAAACGTCATTTATGCAAGTTTGAAGCAGATTTTAAACTTCTGAGCCAAACTTGAGTAAATTCGCAAGGGGTTAGCCTTGCATTTTAATTAAACTTTGACCGACTAGAGACTTTATTCCAAACAACTTTAAAACGATTGTTGATGGTCCGTGATATGTTCAAGACCAAGAGACTTCATTTATGCAAGTTTCAAGCGCATTTCATGATTTTGAAGTTTTTAGCCAAAAATTAATTAAACAAATTTGCAAGGGGTGAGCCTTGCATTTTAATTAAATTTTAACCCCAAATTTACTAATTTTTTTTCAAGAGGGCTCAAATAGATTGTTGATGGCCCGTAATATGTTCTTGGGATCAAGAGACATTGTTTATGGAAAATTCAAGCAAATTCATGATTTTGAATTTTTGACCAAAAATTGACTTTCTTCTAAACTGCTTCAAAATAATTGTTGATGGCCGGTTATATGCTCTTAGGACCAGGAGGAATGATTTATTCAACTGTGACCAAAATGTCTTGTTTGAATCCCTCTCAAGACACCGTCTATGAAAATTTTACGCAAAATTACATTGCCACCATTTGGTAAAAATAAGAAATATACCCTTTTCACTACTAAGAAAATTCACAAGTTTGGTCTCTCTGCAGAAGGGGAAAAGCAAGGAACAGTTTTATTCACAGGCAAACAAGAGTGAATGTAGTTTCAATAATGAATTCATTTTCCTCAATTCAAATCACTTTAATAAAAATGCCCTTACGGTTGGACGGATGAGAATTAGCACTGCATACCATACCATAAGTGATGACAAAATTTCAACAGTAATAAATTCGGTAATGTCAACTTATATACATTTCACCTTAAAATACAGAGATTGATAATTGATTTTTACAAGAATTTTTCAACCAAAAATTCACACCTAGGCAACATTTTCTAGTTCTTCAGAGACTTCTAGTGGTCTTTAATCTATAATGCCAATGTTAACAAATGTACAGGTATTCCAAAGCATGAAAGTGCTTATTATTTATACATATGAATAAGTTTTTTGTGTGTGTCTAATAAAAGACCTTGTTGACAGAAGTTGATGCATATTTGAGAGAATTCAGAATGACGGAACATGAGATTTTCAAGTTAAAGTGTATATGTGCAATTCAGAATGATAAACATTGTAATGTTACAACAGATGTGTCAAAGGCCATTCCTGGATTGAAAAAGACACTGGATTATTCAGAAAAGCACTTGTCCACGCAAGAGGAAGTGGCATGACTGGAATGCAACCGTGCAATCATCAGATTGGTCCAGATAAGATTTCATCAGATTATCCAGAGGCAAACCATGAACCAGAACGTCTTGACGGTGGGACAACGCAATCACTGGACCAGCTGTGAGTCGGCTTCGAGCGTGGTTCCTAACAGATGCAGAAACGACATTTATGTCACCAGTCGGGGAAATCGGCAACAGTGCTCTCAGTTGGCCAAAGGACCAAAATGGAGCATTCAAGGAACAAGGTAATTGCCTTTCAATGTGGTCTTCGTGCAGATATTAAACCCAGATACCTGTTGTCAGGGTGGATGTTGATCAGCTACCAAATCTATGAAATCAGTGCCAGACATTTGCACTTAACGAGGAGGTTCCGGGTTCGAGTCCCATCTGAGTAAACATGTACATTATTTTCTCACCCAAGCTTTCAGAACACAATTATAATCAAATCATGTTGACAAAAGGTGGCCTGCCGAACACTCAAATTCCAATGTCAGTCCCCGAAAGTGTTCTTCCTGACAAAAATGTAGGGGGGAACTAGTCTAACTGTGAAGCCCACTCCATATCACCGTTTGTTGAAGCAAGGCACCATGCTGGTGTCTTCCTCCTTGGACAGTTTTCTTTTGGGAAAGGAGGGGAGGGAGTAAACTCACCTGGCTGTTGCGTCTTCCTGGGCCTGATGATTCCCTCGCGGGACGGAGGGCGAGCCGATATCAGGCGGACCCCGGCTGAGACGCGGGGCGTGCCCTGGGTGTGGCACCGTTCATCGTACTCATTGGCCGTTAGGATATGTGTGCCCAGTCAAGGAATCTGACGCAACAAAAAGTGTCAGTGTTTAATACCCGGGCAAAACTCATTACAATGTGCAGTAACACATGTCAGTTGTCATTTGGCACCTGTCATTTAGCACCTGAGGGAAGAAAAGTTTCAGAGTGAAACAACAAGAAAGGATATTTGCAGTGACAGGTAGGTAGAGCTGCTCCATCTCGGTGATGATCTCCACGTGATGACCGATGGAACCTTGGCCGCTGTCCCCCGTCACGCCGACTGCGATGGCGTAGAGCTGCAGCTCCAGAACGGCCTTCATTCCGGCTGATACCTGATTGAGAATGACGACCCAAGCAAGCATAAACCCTAGTGATCTGCTTTGACAAATTTGTTAAGACAGGGTGCTTCATTCCATAAATGTTCAGTTACCTTTAAACTGCCGTAACTATTAAAAATTTGACTGATGATTAAAATGTTTCACCACAAATGTACTCTGGACTGAGGTCACTCTAGAAGACTAGAATGTACCTATTGAACATTGTAGGTCTTTCTGGAATACACACGCGTGAGGTAGGCCTTATCAGCGTGGCTGTAAGCCGACTCGCACTGGACGTGTCTGAGCTGATGTGACACTGAGTGATGCTGCCTTTTTGATATATCCAACTGGTTCATTCCCTTTCAACACTACTCTCAGTGCTCCGCACTTCGCCGTGGTACTTCACCTCAGGAAAGACAATGTTGCAGGAGTTTACAATGATCAAGAATAGTTCTGCTTTCCATTCAAAAGGCAGCATTCAGCAGTCAGTATTGTATTCAATTCCCTTCACAATTCCAGTCACAAGTCCAGTCACAAGTCCTGTCACAAGTCCCTTCACAAGGCCAGTCATAAGTAACAGAGTGAACAATGACAGAAGAACACTTTTGTCACGGCTCATTTGAACAGCTTTTGAATTGGCTTAAGACTGGATGACTTGTGATGGACTTGCAAGGGACTTACGGGGACTTGCAGGGACTTGTGATGGACTCGAACGGATCCAGTTGGATCCAAAATGGAAATACGAAGCAAGTACCTTACATGTCAGTCAAGCGTAAGGTATTATGGTACTAATCACAACTCTAACCCACAAGTGACATCTGCAACCAGACACGAGGTGAGGAGGTACTCACGGGCCCCGGGGTGTAGACAACTTGAAGGCCTGTCGCGGGTGGGGGCTGCTTCACCTTGTAGCGGCAGGTGTCGATGCCACAGTTCTTCAGGTGGACGCTGAAGGCGTAGGTGCAGCCCTCCCGCAGCGTGCCAAAGTGCACCTCGCCCGGCACCAGCTCAAACCCCCGCATCTTGGAGAGAGGGGCAATGCCCTTGGCCTCCGCCCCGGCGATGGAGGAGGTGTTGACCTTGCGCCGGACGGGGTCTTCCAGAACCTGGAACTGGTGGGGGGAGGGGAAATGATCAATCACACAAAGAGAACATTTGGAGGAAACCAGCCACAAGCAATAGATAATAGTATGTGGTTTTCACTGGTAGCCTGCATTTGCTGAGCAAGAACTATCTGGAGCTCTTTGAATTAACCTTCATATAAAGTTAAAAAATGGCTTGCAACAAGCGGCCGCAAACCAAGAATGATAAGTAAGGTACTAAGGTAAGGTGAGGTACCAGTGGAGTACTTAACAAAACAACAAAACCAGGATAAAGATCCCAGTCTATTGAGGACCCATGTGTTGCAACAAGCAGCCGCAAACCAAGAATGATAAGTAAGGTACTAAGGTAAGGTGAGGTACCAGTGGAGTACTTAACAAAACAACAAAACCAGGATAAAGATCCCAGTCTATTGAGGACCCACGTGTTGCAACAAGCAGCCGCAAACCAAGAATGATAAGTAAGGTACTAAGGTAAGGTGAGGTACTAGTGGAGTACTTAACAAAACAACAAAACCAGGATAAAGATCCCAGTCTATTGAGGACCCACGTGTTCATTGGGCACCATGCCAGGCTTCTGTCCCAAGATGGCCGCTGGCAGCCGTACGCTCTCCTTCCTGGGTTCCCCGTTGACATCTACCAGCAAGCTCTTGGTCAGCACCAGGTCACTGTTGGCCGACGGGATGCCAGCATCGCCTTCCATCCCCGTCCCATTGCCGTCAGGCTGGCTGGAGGAATGCCGGCCCTCGTCCTGGTTGTTGCCACTGACACTGTTCCCGTCTGTAAAGCAAAACAGCGTGTACATGAATAAATCTTGTCGAGCAATGAGACTTGACCGTGTGGTGGAATTGGAATCCGGCAACTCACCAGTGTAGCCTGAGCGGTCCGTGTAGGCGCCTTCGTCGGCGTGCTCGGGAATGGTGGATGGGTGGTTGGGGAACGACGCGTAGCTTGAGGGCGTCTCGCTGGGAAGCACTGCATTCTGGTTGTTGGCGTTGTCGGTGTTGCCTCCTGGGGTAGGATTACCTGAAAATGGTATCAGAAAACGATCACCTTTTCTGTTCTTCAAGGCGGAGAATCAATTTGGAAAAGAAACCAAATCCTGGTACTGCAGAATTAGCCAGTATCACAGATTTGGTGAAAGAAACAGAAAGCTGCGAGGGCAAAACAAAAAAAGGTTACCGGCTATATTGCCACGTGTTACATGGTACATGTGATTGGTTCTCTGCTGCCCAAATTCAAACAAATTATGAAACAGATAATATAGAGCTTAGCACATTTCGGCTGGAAACCACTGAGAAGCAATACACACAGTATTACATTTTCAGCTGGTAACCTAAGCAGATATGTTTTCAGAGTAAACTTCTGTGCTCTAAGAACTCCATAAAATTGGCTGTTTTTAAGAGGGAGGATTTCTGCTTGAGACAGACCTGGCCTTGCTGTAGGCTCTTGTTGCTGTGAGGCGTGGGCCGGCGTCGGGTTGTTGGGACGCAGAGGGGTGGGTGTTCCCTGACCCCCGGCATGAGCAGGGGTTGGATTGGTCGGGCGGACGTCGGCTGGACTAGAGGACGATATAGGAACTGAAACAAAGGGGGTGGGGGAGAAAATCTCACAAATTTAAAAACGAGGCTGAATTCTAACCATCCTGAAGTCCAATGTCAATATAATTACGACTATCCTTTGCTTGAAGTTCCCTTCCCCAACGTTTCCTACCTCTTGGTCTTTCCAATGTCCAGTGACAGTATTTCTGCACTGCAGAGGGGTAGACCAGCCAGTGATGTATCCAGTTGGGCATGGGGGAGAAGTTCCTTCCCCCCCCCATGGTGTTTTTTTTTTTTTAAGTTTTAGGATTTGAAAGTGCCAGCATTCTAGAAATTTACTTGGAGGGGGGTTAAAGATTTGTATATTGATGAAAAAAATTGGACGATCATTTTGAGGGAAAAATCCCCCCCAAAACTCAAGACTTAGATATGCCACTGAAACCAACGTACCGCTGATGGTTGGGTTGGAAGGCGAGGGTTGTTTCCGAGGGGATGTGCTTTCCGATGGATCACTCTGTCTAGACGAATCTGGACCAGCTGTAAGATTGAATCATGGCATTAGCAACAAGGGATAACTACATCACATGAAAATATGTGAAAATAAGGACTTTTTTTCTGACTGGTGTTTCTAGCAAATTTTAATGATAGGGGTTTGTGAGATGTTTGTTTCATAGTAATATCCATTACATTCAGGGAGATGGTCCCAGCATGCCGCCGTACCTTGCTGTTGACTGGCTGGTGACTCGGACGGCGTGCTGGGCAGACTGAATGCGGTCCGCGGCGGCTGAGTCCCTCCTTCCCCCTGTCTGGTGGCTTGGGCCAGGTCCTTTGTCAGCACCTCCATGTCCGGAGCCTTGCTGCCGGCCCCGGCAGACGCGGCCTGGCTCAGGAGGAAGCTCTCTCCCCCGGCGCTCTGGAAGTAGGGCGGCACCTCGTGGTTACGCAGGGCCTTGCGCAGGGTTAGCTCCTCAGCAAGTTCTCTCCTGATGAGAAGCAAAAGTTCACCCACAGACTGCAAACGTTCTAATTTCACGCGCCCACGATTTGACAGCACTCTGCCAGTATCACATTGTCTGTAACACCTCTCAAAGACTTCCTTCCACTCTTGGAAGATTCAAGATTATTACGCTCAAGTTCAAGGTCTAGGCTGACCAACTCAAATGCAGAAATCCGATTGCTTTCCAAATAAAAGTTATGTAAACTGCCTCCAAGGTTTATTGTTGTGACTGTTACGTATCAACCATAGACCGCACCTTCCCCTTTCTTGTTGAGGGCGCTATTTGGCTGATACATAGCTTCCCTACTAAAAATGGTCTATTCAAGCCAATTGATTTTTGAATTGGATTTAATTGGAATGAATTGGGTCCAATTGGCAATCAACTGGTGCTCAATTGGTTTCAGTTAGTATGTTTTCTCTCTGATTTTTTCCCCCATCAATTGGAGATTTCAAATGGGACGCCAATTGGTTTCAATTGGCATTTTTATCTTTGCTGTTTATTTTCCCCAATCCATTGGAATTTCAAATGGAAATCAACTGGTTCCAATTGGTTTGCTTTCAGCTTGTTTCCCCCATCAAATGGATTTTTCAAATAGGACTCAATTGGTTTGAATTAGTAATGACATGGTTTCCATTGGTTCTTCGGTTGGTTACAATTGGATTGTGAATTGGCATTCAAATGGTGTCAATTGGTTTGAAATGGTCTAACTGAGAAATGGTCTGAATTTACTATTCAAACCAATTGAACCCCATTGGATTCCAATGGATTCCAAGCAAAAGTAATTGGTTTGGAATTGGTTATTGAATTGGTTTGTGAATTGGATCCAACGGGTAAGTGAACTGGTCTCAATAGGTGAATGAATTGGACATTTTCAGTAGGGTTCCAATTAGATACTGCCAAACAGTGTACTGATCCTAGTGACTATGTGCACTGTCAAACAGTGAGGGTACCATGAGACTGACCCACGAGAGGCAAGCGAGGGCGCTATGAGAGTATGTGATGCCCAACATCGAACTTGAGCCTTGTATATAAACATTGAACGTCCAAAGTTGTGGCTGTGGCTGGAAATAACAGGCAAGCTTATGGAAGCCACTGGCTTAACGGCTGCAATGACTCCCCATAGGCACGTGCATGATTCTCAGCCGCAGCCAGTAGGTTTGAACACAGCCGACAGTCTGACGGGTACGTACTTGACCCTGTCCCAGTCCTCCTGTGTGTACTTGTTCTTGGGCTTGGGCAGTGGGCGTTGGGGAGCCGGGGCGGTCGCCTTCTCGTACAGCGCCTTTGCCTCTTCGCCGCTGGTCACAGCTCGGGGCTTGGTCGTCGATATGACACTCTTCGATACTTGCTGAGGAGCATTGTCTGCTGCCGAGTCCATCGGGGCAGCCACATCTTGCTCATCCTAAAAAGCAACAGTAACCAAAGAGTTACAGCACAGCAAGAGAAGATGCTGAAGATAGTGGACTGGCAAGTTGATTACGAGGGTTTCCCGGCAGGTGTTTGTATAATTGAAAGGGGCCAATCATTAATGCAGGCTTTGTTCCACTCAGGGATTAAGCACTCCAGAGGGAGATGCTTAGAACATTTCTTCTGGAAGTACCACTGTTTTTCAGTAGAAATACATGTACATTATGAGCAATCAGCGTGTTGCATGTTACCTTGAGGTCAGCCCATCCAAGTTGGGAAAGATACTGACAGCACCAATGGATCTCCATGAGGGTCACTCCATGTTCAAATTGGAAGTTCTAGGATACGTCTGAGCCTTGAGACCCACGAAATTCCGTTATGGTTGTCTGATTCCAAGTTTTTGTGGGCAAGTTCAGTTTTTCGAGCATTCTGGGTTGTGAGTTTGGATGTGAAAGTTTGTCTCTTACCTGTGCCAAGATGCTGGCCAGGAGCTCTCCCGCCTTGACTTTCTCGGCTTCGTCTCTCGGCTCCTTAAGCTCTTGCTCTGCCCACTGCTGGTCCTTACTCTGCATCTCCTTGGCATACGCCTCCAGCCCCAACCTCATCTTCTGCCGCAGCTCCTCGCTGATGGGCTTGTACTCGATGAACTGCCGGATCTCCAGCTTGCTGGGACATACGGGCACTGGGGGGCTGCGCAGGACAGGGAGCCGCGAGCCGACCGCCAGCCCCTTGCCCACGTCGGTGCCAAACTTAGGGCCAGGGTGCTTGAGCTCACGGGGCGGGAACCTGGCAAAGTCCCGGGAGCACAGGTTGGGGGGGACGATGTTGGGCTCGTCCAGGGTCGTCAGCCACGCCTTGCTGAGGCCGGTCATGTAGGGCCGCATGACAGTGATGCCATTGACGTCGGGGTGGTCGGGCAGCGGATCGGTCAAGATGGCGGTGTTGGGATCAAGGCTTGCCTGCTCGAGATATCCCTCGATGTCCTCACCCCGGAGCAGTTCTACCCCACTTCCGTCCTCGTTGATCACAAAGAACTTCGGCAGGTGGTGACAGTAATCTTTGTTGACACCCATCTCGTCCATATCCTCGTTGCAGCTGGCAGACCTAACAACCTTTGTCTCCCCAGTCGAGCGGACCACAAAGCAATTCCCATAAAGATCCTGCATCTCGAAAACCAGTGGGTTCTGGTGCCTCATGGTGTAGGCCTTGGATTCGCGATGATCTCTCGCGACAGCCGGGATATACTCAACAGTCCCCTCGCTCTTGACGGTCACACGGCCGCCCTCATGATGCAGAACCTCGTACGAGCCATTAGGGATGCTTATAATCTCTGTACCACTGCCAAAGATCGTGGTCGCCAGACTATCCTCACTGTTGAATATAACAGTGGCATAGCCGGGGCACTCGACCTTGTAGTGTTTGACGAGCTTAAATCTGGGCGATGGTTCTTCACCTGTCGAAACAGAAAAAACCTAAGCATGAATCCATAAGAATTCTTCAATAGGGGAGTCAGGATAATACACCGGTGCTTTCTTCGCCTTCAACTTTAGTGAGTGGGGTTCGAATCCCACCAAGGTCAAGATTGGCATTGGAATTTCCTTGCAAAAATGTACCTCATGGGTCCCCAGAATACTGATATAGGGTTTTCCTCTAATCACTTCAACCAAGTATCTTCTCTAAACAGGTTTCTTCAGACTTGTAATTAGCTACATTCTTCTGAAAGTTTTTGAAGAATCCTTGATTTCATTACCAAAAAGTAGTTTCAATCGGTCTAATCTCACCAAGAGCTAGAGATTCCCCGGCCCCATACCTGTCTCAGCATGTTCGTCAAAGTCATCAACCAGCTCCACTCGGTTGTAGTAGGTGGTGATCCGTGTGCCCTCGTTGTGGTCAATGATGCGGCTTCCGTCGGGCCGCTGTAGGATCACCACACGGTCCTCCCTGGTGCTCATCACCTGAGTTGCGAAAATCGAAATGAAATTAACCGAAAATCAAGAATCACTAGTCAAAAAATTCTTTGGCTTTGATTCACTTAAAGGCTCTGATGGCAATGCTCCATCTGCCTAAAGCAGGAACAGAAGTACCCCCTCTGCAATTGAAAAGAGCTATGCTTGTGGGGAGAGTTCATTTTGTTGGTAGTGATGTGACCACGACACGCGCATTTCACAGTGGTTTGGGAACCAGCGAAGTTCGGTTCCCACCATAGGAGCCTCTGTTGCTAGGAAAACGGCGCCCTCTCTTGGTCTCGCTCGGGGCTCATAGGGGCGACAATGGTGGAAGGTGCCAGAGTGCTGGTCTCACTTGTTGGCATGTTTATGGCAAGAAATACATTATAGTATGGGTGGTGGACCCATAGAAGTGGTGGCAACGGAAGTGTCAGCCCAACCTGTCTGCTTGTCAGTGGACGATGGCCCACTCCATGCATGAAACCTCTGTGGCCTAACTGTGACTCACCTCGTAGGTCATGGGGTCGGTGGCAGAGTACATCATGCAGGCCTTCAGCTCGTATGTGCTGCCGTCCGCCCGCGTGCCGATGCGGGCGCCGTCCCTAGCCGTGGTCACCCACTCGCTGATTGCACCAGGGTCTTCGGTGGCACCAGGGTCTGGGAGATCATCAGCTGGTTTCTCTCCGGCTACTGCCGTGCCAGACTTGCTGGGCGGTCCTCGGACAGACCCTGACCCCAATAAGTAACCCCACAATTACGAGTTTGAATTCAAGACCTGGGGTTGGTTTATAAAGGTTCTCAGCAGAGTGCTACATAATGTTGGTGACTGGACCGGCTGATTTCTGCCGAGCACGTACATTTGTTGCACAATCATTTCTGCTACAACTCTGTGATATCCAGCCTGCGCACACAGGAGGTGTTTCACTAGGAACCAAAAGCTTCGATACACGCTAAAAATTTCATGTGATGAAAACTGCTTTTGACTTGCTGCCGTTATTTTTGGGAACCAGAACAGAATCTGACACCAGTTTGCTGTGCTCATGGCAAAAATTTGTCTGAAACCGTAGGCAAGCACACGTCATAGGCATCTGCTCCAGTAAGTTTTTACAATTTTTGTTTTCAATTTTAAAATGAAAGCAGAGCTTGAGGTACTTTCTTGAATCGTTTCTTATTTTTTTAATATCTCCCCTTTTGTTAACAGTGGGTGTTGCGATCCCAGAAAGCACAATTTTACATAATTTGACATTTTTTGGTTACGAATTTTCTGTCGTGCTTGTGAACACAACCACTTCCTCTCCTCTCAATCTTTGTCGAGGCGAGAGGGACAAATCGCAGCCTTACCTTTTTTTACCGCAGCGTCAGACACCTGCGTACTGATGGCGCTGCCGCCGCGCTGCGGGGAAGGTTCTCGGCTGTGGGCGCGGCTTAAGGAGGAGTGTCTGGAGGAGGGTCCCTGGCTGACACTGACAGCACCATCCGCAAACAACACCTGGTATCCATGTTTAGTTGGAAAATAAAAACCAATCTGATCATAACTATGGAATTAACCTTCACAAACAGTACAGATAAAAGAAATTTTTTGGATGTATTACAATGTTCGATGCCGTCTACAGAGGAGTGATACCTTGTGGGGCTTTAGTCACTGCACGTCCATTGCTAGTCATTCAGTATAAAGTCACAAACTATACAAACCAGTTGTGACCAAAACATTCCTTTGTCGATCTTCACCGAGTTGCTTTTAATTGGGCAGGTGACTGGACTCGAGAAAGGACTTGTGACTGGGCTTATGATGGGCCTGACTATTAAGGCCCTGACGCTTTGCGTAAAAGCAAAGTTTAGTTTAGTTTTTTTCTGCGGTATCTGATTGGCTCTGCACGAGGCGAAGCGCAAACCTGCCCAAATATCCGTGCACGCCGTCGCTGTCAACCAGATTTCCCTACCTGCACATTTCCGTCCTTCATCATCTTGATGACGCTACCGTCGCTGGTGATGAGCCGCGACCTCTCCTGCATGGCCGGCACCTGGCGGGCCGACTCGCACTCCTGCCGCCCCGAGGTCTTGTAGGGGTAGCACTGCCGGACCAGGAGCCGGCCTGTGGACTTAGAATCAGCCATCACGACCCCTGCGATAATCCGGGGAAGAAGGGAAACTATTTATTCATTTCAAAGTGAAGCAGTGGGGTCGTGCGACTTGTGTGATTGCTACAAACTGTTCAACTTTGTTGTCAGTCATTTGTTTCACCTTGAGCCCTGGCCTCATCAGTCAACCGGGCGATTCTGTACTGTGGCACAGCAGAACGGAGCTGAATCGAATCAAGGAGTTTCAACTCGGGGGGGGGACAGAATGTGTAAAAATTCAACCGATGATATAGACAGAACCGTGAGTTGCACCAAAGGGGGCCCTGACTTCATTGGGAGTCATGTATGCAAAGAACGGTTACACCCTCAAATGAAATTGTACTGTTTGCCATGCACCTTAATGAAGACGATCGACATAAAGCTATATTCTTTAGTTCTTAGCGGGTACCTACGTGTTACAGGTCCATTCAGTTTAGAGTAAGCCTATTAAAATCTCCTATTGCTGGTAAACAGGAAAATTACCTATGTAGTAAATTGATGTGCCGAGCAACAAGTTAACGGAGAACCAGTGATAAGTATAGACACTGTACAAAACAGTGGCTGGGAACCGGTCTTTTGCTATTAGCGGAAATCTTCCCCGCTTAGCAAGTTTGTCTACAGAGTTCCTGCAGGCTGCTGGTCTTACCGGCATCCTTCTCCAGGAGGTAGTTGACATGGAGACCGTCCGGGCAGGAGACAAAGAGCTGCTGGAAGGGGGGCTCCTTCGGTTCCTGGGCCTTCTTCAAGGCTTCCTCCATCGCTCTCCTCTTTCTCTCCTCCTCCTGAAAGATTGGACAACGGAAAAGGGACAACCTGACGACGTCTGTCTAAAGTCTGGGTAGGGGACGATCATGAGATAACGAGACTTATTGCTGGGAAACTTCGCAGCGAGTGAGGCATTCTGGGCAAACAATGTTGTTGTTTGCTGGTCATAAACTGATGTGGAGCATTCCATATTGTAATCTCCAGAGTGAAACTGAAAAAAAAATGACGCGGCATGTTTGATCAGTAGATCTGGATGAAGAACACCGAACACTACTTTTCAACAAAGAAACACTGGCCGATGCTTCAGAAGACACCCCTGGGGCTTAGCAAATACCAAATGTTATTGAATCCTACAGAAAGAACCTTAAGGCTTCAGTCATTTCATTTCAGTCTGAATTAGAGAAAGCAAGCCGAGCCTTTTGTTTTAAGGTATCACTCAGTCGATCTGGCTTCCTGACGAAAATGGGCACCATGAATGCGAAAAGCCTCCAGGGTCCCGACTGATTTTTCATTACACAAGATCTTATTAAGGGTCTCTGACTGCAAGGTGCCTCTGGTGACTTGGGACTCGTTCTTTTGAGGGTTGGGTCGCGTCGCACGTGCGACCAGATTACACGGCGTGCCTACCTCCTTCTGCTGTTGCTCTAGCTGCAGCTGGGCCTGTCTCTCCGCTTCTTGCTGCTGCTGTTGCTGCTGTTGTTTCTTCCCCTTTTTACCCGACCCCGCCCTGGTGCCCTTGGGGGAGGAGATGGTCGGGGGCGGAGATGGACTGTTGGGCGGGGGCACGTAGATCTCCACCTCTTGCTTCGGTTCTTCTGGGGAAATTATCGTCAGGAATTGTGGTTATTATTCGGTGGAAAGGGAAAAAAAAAAGGTCCAGAAGTGAAACTCTGGAAGTGAAGTCAACCACTGGGCTCAATATTAGGAGATCTGTAACTAATACATTTGTACAACTTCTTGTTATAAAAGCTGTTACTTCATAATGTGACTGTGAGCTTTAACCCCTTCATCCCGGGAACCGTCGATAGCCGCGGCTTTGTGTGAGGATTAGTGCATACCACACATACAGTCTATTCACCATGCAGCTGCTGGTTCAATGGGGCCTGCTGCTGGACAAAGCCCTCCATTCAGGGCATACGACAGCCCAGCAGTCACGGTCAAATGAATCCCGGCGTGTAGGAGTTAAGAACATTTTTCTGTCAGAAATTTTTTTTTTGCTCACACACACAAACTTTCAACAATGATTCAAGGCAATCAATTTCTGATTTCACTGATTGCTTTCTCAATGGATCAAATTTGAAATCTCTAAAAACACTAGCCATAAAGATAAAAATCAATCCAGGAACCATAAAGATCTTTGACATTACCAGCTCCAAAAGGAACTCCCTTGCTGCCGTAGTTGCTCAGGGCAAACACCATGCCGTCGCTGAGGGTGGCCGTGAATGAGCCAAAGCTGCTGACAGGTCCAGGTTTTTCTTCTGCGGGTTCAGGTGCCTTGGTGCTGTCCAATGGAGCGTCCTGTTGCTGCTGGGTCACACCCTTGGTTGGCGAGTCTCCTACGCGGGTGTGCAACCAACCGAAATGAGAATTACAACAAATGTCGCCCAACTCTTTTTCTCTTTGAAATATGTCAAGTATAAATTTTGTCTTATATCAGTGCCTCGTTTTTCATAATTTTTATACATTTCAGCTACGTTTTGTTCAGCAATTGTTAAAAATGACTCAACTTTGGAAACCATGCTGATGAGGTTACTGATGAGGATCTCCATAGCAACAGAAAAAGTCCAGTTCTCACCATGACAACTGCTTACAATCAATCCAACCAACCCAGAAAGCTAGTTTTCCAGTCTGTCAGATTAGTATGTAACAGCACAAGGCATACATTAATAGGAACAACGATGATTTTCAAAGCTGTGATGAGATCCACAAACAGTGCAAGGAATAGCTTCTTAACACCACATCTTAGATTCTGCCTCGGCAGCCAAGTGAAGACGTTCAAACTCAAGGAACCAGGAAATACTGACAATCTCCAAGTAAAGTTGACGGAGGAAATCATAAGGGGCATTTCTGATGAGCTGAGGGCACCTAGTGTGTAATCACCGAGCAAAATTCTGCACGACAAAGTAAAAGATCAAGTACTCCCACACCAGCGTGGCCTAGCCAAAACAAAACGCTGTCAAAAAAGAAAATCAAATTCTTGATGGAAAATAAAGCCTATTAAACTTTGGACTTATAGAAAACTTTCTCTCAAAAGACATTCAAGACATGAGACATGCCTCCTGAACCCCAGTGGAACCATGTCTGGGCAGTGGCATACGTTAGAATTATGTTGGAAGTGTAAAGTACATATTTCCCACAATGCCTCCAGATTATTAAAGAGGAAAGACTTTCTTCACGAAAAAAAAAAAGATACCAGCAAGCCTTCTACATGTAACTGGAGCATTTTTGGTTACGGTAGCTTAAACTCGCTTTATTAATTGAGCAGTCCAAACTGTGTAGAAATTGTCACACACCGTGATTTTTTAGCACGCCATTAGAGTGCATTAAAGTGTAAGGGTTAATCTTGGAGGAAGAAAAAGGAAAAGCAGAACACAGGCAGCAAAGCAACTGCAATCAGCTTTTTTTGGTCACACACGACTGACCATCGCGCGATTCGGCATACTGTGACCCACTCATCGACCCGGACTTGATCGATAGGGCCTCGCTGGCCAAGCTATCGGCACCGTCCTCATCCATCAAGTCCTTCAGGAGGTTGGTTTCCTTGGCGACGGGGGCTGGAGAAGGGGTAGATTGTTCATCACAATGCCATTTTTACATGCGGTACAAAGTAGTCGAGTCCATCGTAAGTCCATCACAAGACATCTGGTGCTTGTGAGCCCAAGACGCAAAGAATTCAAACGAGTTGCGACAAGTGCAATGCTTTGTCACTATTAATCCTGTTTCTTTTGACAAATTTGTAAATGGAGGAATTTATAAAAGGACATATGAAGGAATCGAGCTATGACATTATCTATAACATTGCGATATTTCTATAAATCCCCTGAAACAAAGTAACAGAAAGTTGCATGGAAACTTCACCCAATATCACCTTCAATATCAACTTTTATGAAATCATCAGTAAATAATGCTTACACCAAATCCCCAATTCAAGCCAAGTCAGCAGGGCAACCAGTCAAGTGTGATACTGATTGCGTACACTTGCTTGGCTGGTAACCTGTTCTGCTTGCTAAGCAAGTTGCGTCTGGTGCTTTTGCTCACCTTGGTCCTTCTCCTGGGTCTCGTGCTCAGCCTTCTCGACCATCGCCTCCTCTGGGCTTGTTTTGGGTGCTAGTTCATCCTCGCTGACTGCCCGCGGGTTTAGCATGTGAATCACAAACATGTGGCCGTCCTTCAGGACGGAGGTCTTCACAAAAGTCGGGCCTGTGAAGAGAACGGAATTGAAATGGCGCAACAGAGCTGAGATCAAAGCAGGTTTGCGTGAAGATTGTGAAAAGTCCGCCTTATTGCTCTTCAAAAAAAGAAATGGAATTTGAGAATCTGAGTTTCAGGAAAATTTGAGACAAGAAAGTTTGAAGAAATCTCTGGGAATCTTCAGCAAGTTTTCACAAAACTAAACAAAATTTGAATGGAGATGCTACCGTTGACAATTTGTCATGGAAAGTAGGGGGGGGTTTACTTGGCTGAATTTGGTTATTGTGGCCCAAATTCTTGAAAGTGAATTGTCTTCTGCTACGGCTTACCGTCAACAAATTCAGTCTTCTCCGTGCGTATCTGACCTCCATCGCAGGGGAGCAGCGTCGTGACGAAACCGCTGGCATGAATCAGATCGTTGCCCACATCGTAGCCAACAAACTGGAACAATCAAGGAGGAATTAAAGAGCATTCAGGATCATCTTTTAGAAGATTTTAGAAGGGAGAGACCTCTTCTAGCCGACATTTGTGAACTAGCTCCAAATGTGGGCCACTCGGACCTCAGTGAGGGTAGAATAATTTCAACAGGGCACGACAAAACAGCATCAGAAGCTCTGACGTTGCCATCTTCACCACCAACCCGTCTCCTCTTTGCCAGGGACAGGACGCGTCAAGTTGGGAATGAATAAGAACAACACGGACCTCTTTTCTGCCACATCAGCAACCACTTGTCAGGCATGAGGTCGGAATTTTTCATGTGGTTCAACAGTTAACCCCTTCGCGGCGGGATTCTTTTGACCGTGACTGCTGGGCTGCGGTATGCCCAGTATGCAAAGCTCTGTCCAGCAGCAGGCCCACATTGAACCAGCAGCTGCTTGGTGAATAGACTGCATGTGTGGTATGCACTAATCCTCACACAAAGGTGCAGTAGTAGCAGTCCTCCGTAGCAAAGGGGTTAACATCCGAAGCTGAGATTTCATTTTAAAAAAAAAGCAAGCACTCCACAGAAGTAGTCCCTTTATCCTTTACCGGGTATTCCCTCTCTGGCTCCTTGGGTTCCTCCGTCGGCCCTTCCTCCCCCTTCTCTTCTTCGGCTCCTGCCCCACCCTTATCCCCTTTGGTCCCTTTCTTGCTGTTGCGGCCGCTCTCCTTGGATGGGGAGACGGCCCGCTTGTCCTTCTTGTCGTCCTTCTTCTCTCGGTCCTCTTTCTTGGGTGAGCCAGAGCGGGAACGAGACCTGAAAGTACGCGTAATCGAAAAAATCTGTTTGAAGAATTCCCACCTTAGAAAATTTGGAGAACATGATCAGATTTGCACAAGATATTTCTGTTGCAGCTCTTGATGGTATCAACGGAGGTTATATTTTTTCAGAAAAGAGGCTATTTTAAAGTAATAGGGGTACGGAGGAGGGCCCAATGACTGTATTCCAGAGAAGATACACAAAATCACGTAGAGATGGTCAACTCCGTCTCGCATATCACCCGGAATGAGATTTGAACCTTGGCCTAACACTCTGGGGGAAACGTCTGATTTCTCAAGACAATTGACCTTCAGTAGGAGCACCCCCTCATCGGTTGAAAAGACCCGTGTTGGTGAGTTCGAGTATTCATTTTGTTTGTAACCAAAGGAGCTTCCCTTGCTAGAATAATTGCGCCCTCTCTTGGTCCCGCCCGGGGCTCCTTTTGAGACAACTTTCCACCGGTGGACTGACCTGGGTCGACCCTTCTTCTCCTTCTCCAGCCGTTTCTTCTCCTCCTCCTCGCGGATCTTGTCTTGCTCCAACTTCCAGGCCTTCATGGAGTTGGGCCGCATGAAGCTGCCACTGTTGGGGTCCAGGTTGTCCACCGAGTGGGTGGGGCTGACACTGCGTTTGCCTGTGCATGAGATTTGGAGAAATACACAAGTTCTGAGACACTGCCCCCCCTTTTGAGTGAAAATTTGTGGCATACCATCAAGACAAGGTAACCTGCATCACACATTAAAAAAAAAGCTCCTCTTTCAACAAATTGGTGTGTTTATCACTTCCTTCAGAAAACTGTAAAACAAAGATTCTCCCCTCCTTTCCTCTGAAGTTAGCAACCAGCATATCTTGGGTGACTTTTTTTGGGAGGGGGAATCAGAGGTGCACGCATTTTTCCAAGGGAACCCTGGAAGCAAATTACTGTGGCTTGCATGTTGGTTGTGTACCTTTCAAAATTTCAAATTGAGGGGGAGGGGTACTGAAGGGGAACAGACTTCTACTTGGGGGAGGGCCCATGCCTCCCTCCACCCAATAGTTACCCCCCACTGGAAGGTGTTTGTCTTCATTTATTGCTCATTCTAAAACAATCTCACAACAGCTACAATTGTTCACAAAATGTGCATCAATCCTTCATTGACGACATAACCACATCAAAAAAACGTGCTACACGATCTTCGCTGCAACAACTGACCTTTCGGCGACTTGGAGCGGGACTTTTTGGGTGACCCGGACCGGGCACGGCTCTTGCCGCTGGAGGGCCTGGAGACCGACGGCGAAGGGGTAGCCGCGGCCGCCGCCCTCATGGCTTCCAGCTCCTTGCGCCGCACCTCAGCCTGGTACTTGTCTTCCTCCTCGGCCGTCCAGTCCTTGACGTAATCGGCCACGTGCTCCATGTAGTTCCTAGTCAGCAAAAAAACCCCAGAATATCCAATGGGTCAAATAATCATCACATTTAACATTCACCTGTCACCCCCTCATCCCTACGTGCTGATGACCAGCATATGCAAATGCTGGCCAATGGCATCAGCCCAAAGGAAAGTGGTTGCAAAGTAGCACAATGCCCTCACTCGTTCATGCACAAAGTCAATACCGCCTTAAATCTAAGGCTGCATCCGAATCTGTTGTCTGTAACTACTTCTGGGTCTTCGTCTAGTGGAAACCGAAGGAGACTGGACTTCGACATACCTACAGCACTGGAAGGCTGTTTTGGAGATGGCCGTTGTCTACTAGGTCTCTCACAGTGTTGGAGTCCAGTCCACAACCTTCAAGGCCAAGGCTGAGTTCGAGGCCAGAGTCTCCGAGGCCGAGTCATTGCCATTCGAGGCCGAGGCCACAGTCTCCGAGGCCGGAGCCAAGGCCAAGAAAAACCGGCCTTGAGGCTGGCCTCTAGACCTCCAAGACTGGCCTCTCAGCACCCTATAATATTATCATTGCCAATTAAAATTCCTAGGAACCCACCTGAAGCCAACATTGGAGTGCAACTTGGTACTCCACGGTTCGTGGTTCATGAGATTAGGTCCCATGGGATTGTGCAGGACCACCAGGAGCGAATGGTCCCTCTTGTGGTAATAGGTATCCATGTAGGGGTACACCTCACGAGCTTCTTGCAAGACCTATACAATTCAAGCAATCTCTCTATGTTAGTGACATATGATAAACATTCTGTTTAAAGACAGGTAACAATACAAGATTCTGCCTTTCACGAGAGTATCAACGTGACAAAATCTGGCTAGAAGGTATTCATCCTAGTGAACAACCAGTAAATCTATAACATTGTAAATCAACGTGTCAGCTATTCTCATTCCATGAGGCATGTCTGCTCCAGTGTCCCCACGTTGTAAGCTGAATAGCACCCTCAACAGTCACTGCGCGGAGGCATTAAAGTAAGAAAATAAAAGTCCATTTTTTTTTTTTAACTTCACCTGTAAGAGAACGCTGGGCTCCAAATACTCGGCGTAGCGCCACTCGTCCAGGTTTCGTTGCTGCCTCTCCCCAATGTCCTGCACCCCGATGATACTGCCGGCCGACCCCGGTCGCGACCTCTGACTCTTGGCAGCTCCGGGGAGCTCCAGGGAGAGGGAGTTCTCCGAGGTGGGCTGGGAGGAGGAGGCAGGCTGGGCTTCCTTGGCAGCCGGCAGGACTGGTTTGCCTGAGGCGTCTTTCTCAAAGTGGACTGCAGGCCAAAAAAATCTTTCACTTCAGAGCTTTGTCTGGTTATTTGTACACTTGGCTCAAAGATTTCACAGAATTCAGTACATGAATCTAACATGCGCTCTGATATGATGGATTGTTTTGTCCGTGCCAAATGAAGCACCGGATGCTATAGGCTATGAGGCATGCAGTCAGTTTGACACATAAATTCATAAAATGGGCATGTGGCCTAGTGGTTAGGGTTTGTAGCTTCTGATCATCGGGTCGGGGGGTTCGAATCCAGCTTGTGGCGGCATGTTGCGATCCTGGGCCAGTCACTTTACCCCCAAGTGCCTCTCTCCACCCAGGAGTAGATGGGTACCTGTGAGGGCAGACCCGGTTATGTTTAGCCGTTTGTGCCTTGTTTGCAATGGCAGCATCGGGCAGTATACTCCCCAGGGGGCTCAGATCAGGTGTCAGGAATGCTCACACGTTGTGAGCCCAATGGGCAGGGATAATGATAGTATATCGGCTCCATTGAATTGCACATACTGTGAGATACTGTACACCTGATAATATTGATATCTATAATTATATGATCTAATTATTTGAAATTGATATTATTATAAATTCCCTGTCCATTTGTCAATGCGCTTTACGATGCATGCAGGGTTATGAGTGAAATACTCATCTAGTGACTGAAAGTACAGACTTACACTACACTAAGGCATAGCCAGTAAGCTAGACTGTTACATGACATCTGTGCTATATGTCTGAAACAAGTATATGGAATTGAGTGACACATGGTCAAAGGAAAAAATGTCAGTGTGGTTCTACATAGGGGCTATTGGTTTAGCCATATGCTTTTAGGGTGTAGCTCTTGCCAACACAAAATTCCATCTCTGTTAAATAATGTCTGCCGTGAGATTACCCAAGATGACCGAAATCTATGTTTGAAATCCCTCAACATTTCTCTGAAACCACCGCCTGGCATTCCATTTTACGTTCATGCATCTCGTTAAATGCTGATCCATGCACGTACAGATACACAGGGACACATCTACCAGAAAGGTCAATCATTAATCACAAAATACCTTCTGCATCTTGCTGTGAAGAAAAATCTCCTTCATTTCCACACAAACAGGTGCAAAAAATGTAAAGATATAAATGTATTGCAACAGAAATGAAAGAAAAAAACAAAGAAACCTCATTTCCTAGGATACAGAAAAGAGCGCCGATTCTTAAGTAGTTCTACAAATGTGGACAAATCTTGGCATGAATCCGAAGAGGAGTTCATTAATTCAGGTTTGCACAAATCCATATCCAATGTCTGATCCTGACCGCTGTTTTTCCTCATTAAATATTTCATAGGGTAGACAGTCAGAGCTTTAGTTACTTCTCTAATGGTATTGTTATGCTTTCCCGTATTTGCATAAAAGACACTAGACGACCATATATGCCATTAAACCTACAACAATGGAGCAAATGTTTACAAGAACTAAAATGCTACAGATCATTTTCCCTTCAGTCAAAGTTTTTCACAGGTCCCTTCCCAAATTTCATTAAACCCGTTCAATCCTGCGTCCAGGATATCCCAGAATGCCTGGCACATCGTGCAGGTATATAACTAAAACCTCTCACTTCTTAAACCCAACAATGTTTGACATACAGGAAAGTCAAGAGGAACACCTAAGTAGGAGACGACAGAGCCATAAAAGCCATTGTGGCGGTGATTGGTTGAAACGGCAAGAGGTATGGCTACTCCCCCCCCCCAACACCCACTCTACCTGTACTCCTGGCAGACTTGGCGCTGGAGGCGGACCCCTGGCGCGATTTGGAAGCGGCGGGCTCATTCTTCAAGATGCCTCCGGACGTCTGATCGCTCTGCGTGCTCTTGGCCGAACCCGGTTTGGAACAGGGCTTGTCTGATGGCAGCTGGTTAGCTGCGTGAAAACAAAAAAACACCACATAAGAAGCATTAAATTCACAGACCTGGGAGTTTTTTAATCTGTTCTTTATTTGGGTCCTGACACCAGATTTCTGAAAGTACTTGGAGAGAAAATTTGGAAAACTGTGATTTTCACTGATTATGATGGCCAAGTATTCCCTACAGCAAGCGAAAAAAACAATGCCATATGCATTGCCCCTAAAAGCTTTTCAAGTAGACAACAACACGCAGGAAGGCCTTGTTTGAATCGACTGGCTATGGCTAGAAAAGACACACATGACTACGGGAAGTGGCTGCAGCCACTAGACAATGGCTCATATTGATATGCATTACATTTCTAGCCACAGCCATGACAATTTGGACGTGGCTAAAGTACCACGTGTGTGGAGACAATACTCCCTTACCATCAATTACTGCAAGGGGAATTGGGATCTCAATTGTCTGGCCCTGCCTGGTGCTGTCGTCCTCTTTGCTGACAAACAGAGGGTAGGGGTCGTCCCATATGACCTTGCTGTCCTCGGTCTCGCTTCTGAGGACCAGCCCGTCAGCGTCAGTCCCCCGCAGCTTCAGGCTCTCGAAGACGAATTGCCGAAAGGCGTGGTCCACTTCGGCCTGGTCGACGGCTCCGCTGGCGCAGTGCTGGAGCAACTCCTGCGACAATTGAGAGATTTTTTTTTATTTTACATTGTTCAGGTTGTTTGACTTTCTGTCCGTCTGTATTTTCACAACCGGAGAAGCCTCAAGATTGGTTCACCTGTGCTGTTTTGTGCGGTACTTGAAGAGGCACGTTTTGGAGAAGCCACTGGTTCACATATATTTGTGTTGGCTTCAATGCACTTTTCAGCTGGTAAACTGTTTCTGAAGGCAATACTTTACAACTATCAACACTTTCCAAACTTGCACGTCTCGGAGCTACAGAGCTCAGACAGCTGACCGAAACATTGCTTCAACATCTCCGGCTCTCTTAAGAACTCCATGCTCTATGTATGTTTTTTTCTTGGTTGCATTTCCCTTTAAAAAAGCTTGATGGATTGTCGACCCAACCTGAAGGCGGGCGGCTCTCTGCTTCAGCACAGCCGGGCAGGGGCGGGGAAACTCCCTCAGTTTGGCCACGGGGATGTAGTCCATCATAGCCAGCTCCGCCTCCAAAGGGTTGAAGCCGTTCAAGGCCCGGAGGTGGTGCAGACGGCGAGCGATGGCGTCCCCGTAGCGGTAGAAGTGAGGGGTGCCGTTATTGGCTCCGTTGACAGTGGATGGGGAAGTCTTGGAGGCCAGACTGTTAAAGCTGTTGTCTATATTCTTTGCAGGAAGAAAAAAGAAAATTCAAGTTAAAGTTTGATACAAAGTGGAACAGCCTATGCCCCTTCAGCTTTGTCAACATGAAATGGACAGATGAGAGATACCCAACGGGACTCACAATGAGGAGGCTATTTTTATAAATGCAAATCTTGCTTCGGACCACAGTGCATGAGGTCAACACCCAGTAATGTACACAATGCTTCTAGGTACTAGTAGTCTGGAAGTGTCTACCTCTTTCTCCTTTGCCGACATGTGCAGCTTGGCAGTCATGCCCTCGATGTGGGCGGCCAGGCTGGGATCCAGGCCGTCATCTCTAGGCGTCTGGGCCTTCTCACTCGGGGGCAGCTTGTCTTCCTCCGTGGCCGTGATCTGTGCATAAAAACAGGAGAGGAACATTCAGCGGGTATTCTACAACTCGCAATGCTGAAAAAGAAACGGAATATGCTTGGAATATTTGTGTTGTCAGCCAATACAGCAGTGAACCGGTCAAAAGCCTGACAACCCATAGATAATTTATTGGGCGCTTAGCAAATTTCAGTGTTCAGCAGCTGTGGGCAGGGCCAGGAAACAGCCTGTAAGTGGAAGCCAATGAGTAACGGCTACAGTCAATTCCCATAGACATGTGTATTACTCCTAAGCCACAGCCAGTTGATTCAGACATGGCTACAACTTCTCCCACCCACCTGTTCCAGCATACAGTGCATGATGATGGGCACACTGACGCTCTCGTGGGGCAAACTGTCCATCAGCTCGCTGTAGTATCGCATGTCCACCTCAGGGAGTGGGGGTTTCTGCTCCAGTCCCCCTAGCCCCTGTAGGTCTGTCGGTGCCCCCGCGGTCAGGGCTCCTGCCCCTGATGTGGTCAGCGAGGCCCCAGAGTGGACTTCCGACACTGTGAATTGAAAGAGTATTACATTTATTTGAATCCTCTCTGGTGGAACCGAGGTTTCTTGAAACAGAGCACGGTACTAGCCTGAAGAAAATTAGACCATTTTTAGAGGTCCGAAGAAAACCAAAAAGCAGTATTCACAGGAAACCTATACAATCCAGAAAGGGACTGACAACTCAATCCACTTGCCAGACTAGGTAGGATTCGAACCCAGCAAAGCAACAGAAGACAAGAAAAGTTCCATTGAACCAACCTGAAATACATAAATGTGTTATAATAACTGCTTGACTGCCGGGAAATCCTAAAACAGAATTTTGCCATCTCAGAAATGGGGAATTTGTATGATCTTAAACTGAAAAACTGCTCATTAAAATGGCGATCACACACTGACCCAACTGAGAACAACCTTAAAAAGTAAAGCTTTGCTTGCTGGAATACTTTTTTCCATTAAGAAAAATCGGTACATCTGTCAATGGTGCATTAAAACGTACACTGTTGAGGATCTTTCAATGGCTCAACACTAATTAAAGTACCAAATAGTACTTGAGATCAGAGATGTGACTTGACTGGGGACTTACTGGCTGGTGGCATGGCTGGTTTGGAGGCCGAGGGAATCTGGATCAGCTTCATGTTGTCCAGGTAGTTAAGGAACTGTCGCTTGGAGTCCAGCAAGTCGTACATCATGCAGGCGATGTCCTCAAACAAAGCTGTGCCAAACTCGGTCTGCAAGGGAGGGCGCCATGACAAGAGAACACACTCAACAGGTGCTTGGAAGAGAATGACTGTCTACAACGGACGGAAGCTCATTGTTTAACCCTGAACTACATGTAAGAGCAACCTTTAGAGATGACTACGGGCAAAACAGCATCAAGTGCTACCTACTGTTCTGGGAATAACACGGACACAATCAATTCAAGTAGCAGACGGGACAAGTGACTCAAACTGATGTATAACTGTCAATGCTCCGTGGAGCTTTCCCAATAAAGTTAGTTAATCCTTGCTTGATACGCCATCATCATGAAACCAACAGGTATGTTGAGCCTGCAGGCAATTTCAACCTCTAAACTCTGGGGTACAACCGTTTGTGCAGGCCAGGTTTAAAGTGCCTCTGTTCAACCTGGCAGACTTTGTTTCAGCTGCCATGATCACCCTTCTGGAAAGAAATCTTCCCAGCAATTCCAGCCCTTCTCACCCTGAGTTCATTGTCCTCCATGTCCTCCGGTATAATCTTGCTCTTGACGGTGTATGCAAGCCGGGCTATGTCATGGAGTTTAGACTCCTTTGGGGCACTGCGTAGCAAGGGCTCGTGCTGTTGCCAGAAGGTCTCTAGTCTCTGGACGGCCTTCTCTCGCTTGACCCTCTCAGCCTCAACCACTGTGGATGCATACCAATTTCAACACTTTTCAATTTCTCTGAGGTATAGTTTTAACATATTTTTTAAAATCTGATATGATTTCCTGAGTTTGATTCATATTAATCCAACCATGGGTCAAACTTTGAATTAAACCAACCAAATCTTTGGCCTAACCCAATCCCCATATCAACATAGTTTATCTTTGACTCCAACTGACCTCAAATGCCTCAACTTTTGATTCACAACCGGCCAAATCTTGTGCAATCACTGTTTTCAACTAACTCAACCTCTGACCCCAACTGACCCAAATTGGTGCATCTTTTGACTCTATTACTGACCTTTCAACATGCCCAACTTTTAAACCAAGTATGATGCCACTAGGGTCACACCGACCAAGCCTCTGACCCAACCTGACCCTAGCTCTGACCTCTGACCCCAACTGACCTTCGGGCGGCTTCTCCTCTTCTTCCTCTTCCTCCTCCTGTGCCTTCAGCCGAGCAAACCTCTCATAGTCCTCCGACCCCACCTTGATGATGCTGTCCACATTGACCCCAAGGTCACAAAGGAGGGCAAGCAGGGGGGCTCGGTCAAACCCCTCAATGACGACATAGTGCTCAGGACCATCATCTGGCTCGTCATCTTTGAGTAAAACAAGGTTGGGGCACGATTTTTACGAATAGACCAACCCCTACTAAAAATGGCCAATTCAAACCAATTGATTTTGAATTGGATTTAATTGGAATGAATTGGGTCCAATTGGCAATCAATTGGTGCTCAATTGGTTTCAGTTAGTATGTTTTCTCTCCAATTTTTTTCCCCCATCAATTGGAGATTTCAAATGGGACGCCAATTGGTTTCAATTGGCATTTTATCTTTGCTGTTTATTTCCCCAATCATTTGGAATTTCAAATGGGAATCAAATGGTTCCAATTGGTATACTTTCACTCTGTTTGTTTTCCTCAATCAATTGGATATTTCAAATGGGACGCAACTGGTTCCAATTGGTTTGCTTTCAGCTTGTTTCCCCCATCAAATGGATTTTTCAAATGGGACCCGATTGGTTTGAAATGGCATTCAATGGTGTCAATTGGTTTGAAATGGTCTAACTGAGAAAAAGTCTAAATTTACTATTCAAACCAATTGAACCCAATTGGTTTCTAATTGATTCCAAGCACAAGCAATTGGGTTTGGAATTGATATTGAATGGGTAATTGCAATGGATCCAATGGGTATGTGAATTAGATCCAATGAGTAATAATTGGATCCAATTGGTATGTGAATTAGATCCAATGAGTATTAATTGGATCCAATTGGTATGTGAATTAGATCCAATGAGTATTAATTGGATCCAATTGGTAGCTGAATTAGATCCAATGAGTATTAATTGGATCCAATGGGTATGTGAATTAGATCCAATGAGTATTAATTGGATCCAATTGGTAGGTGAATTAGATCCAATAAGTATTAATTGGATCCAATGGGTAAGTGAATTGGTCTCAATAGGTGAATGCATTGGACATTTTCAGTAGGGACCCACCACGTCCCACCCACTGCACACAAGGATGAAAGCATGCAAACTGGAACATGCTCAAGAAATACATGCATGCCAGAGAATTCAATTGAGCGTTTGGACTATCACTCGGTGAATTTCAACACTAAGACAGCTCTACAAAATCAGTGTGTGGAGTGCTGAAGTATCGCGGGATAACACCGTCTAAAGATTTGGGGTTCAACTCTGGTTTAATGTCAGGAAGCCGCCGTGCACAAAAAATGCTGAGCACAGCAAAAATATACGCTTAGCGACAAATTGCACCACCAGCCAACTTCTGGTGCGAAATATGCAGATAGTGACTGGCACCTGGCCGACCTTCGCTTAGCAAGAGGAATCTGCTCAGCACAAGATAGCGGTGTTGTTCTTTTCCATACCGATGTATTTGTTGTTGTCCTCTTCCTCGCCTCTCTTCTTCAACTTGCTCTCCTTCTTGGGCGAGGGGATCTCGGGCGACTTGTTCTTGCCTTTGCCCTTGACGGGGGACTTGCTCCTGGCCCGCTTGTCTTTGCCTCCTTTCTTGTCTTTGCCGTCCTTTCCATCAGCAGCCTGCGAGCCCAATGCCAAAACAATTGTTTTATATTTTCTTCGTGAAGAGGTCCAACTTGGGATGACTTCAAAGTTGAGTAAGGACATCATACTTGGGGTGGTGAACTACTCATGACCACGTCTATGCTGAGTAGAAAGTTCGGACTTTTTTGGCTACAGAGTGAGTGGTTTGGCTTTGTTTTGCACGTTAGAATAACAGCCATTGGGATCACAGCAGTAGGATCTAGGATCACAGCCTTAAGGTGACTCTCCGACAAAAATGCAAAATTGCGCCTGAGAACCAGTGTTGTTAACTGGGTCAATCACAAGTCCTTTCACAAGTACAGTTCACAAGTCTCAATTCTCACAAGTAACAGGGTGACAATGACAAAGGGAATGCTTTAGTTATAGTTTATTTTGAAAAGCTTGTGGGTTGAGGCTGGTTGACTCATAATGGACTTGTGGATGGATCTGCATGGACGTCAGGGGACCTGTGATGGACCCAGCTACCCAGAAATGCCCCTCCCTGACCTTCCTCTCATCCTCGCGTCTCTTCATGTCCTTCTGCTTGATGGCCAGCAGCTTCCATTTCAGCAGCTTGGCCAGCAGAGGCATCGGCACGTCTTCGTTGTTGTCCAGGTGGGGCTTGACTGCCTCGCAGATTTCCGAAAACGCGGGAACATCTTTGGGCTTCTTGGTCTTGGCATTGCCTAGCTCTTGAACCTAGGCGGAAAAAGCAAGAGGCAGAGTCTCATCAGTTCAACCCTTTCACATTGTGGCGTATACCAAACTCAAATCTGTCCACAACGTTTACTGGAAGTCCTGTTTATATACTCCTTGCAGAGGACCGCAGTACGATGGAACACATCATTTTTTTACCTTTCTGCCTTTCATTAATCCAAACAAGAGAGTACATTTTTTTCAAATTAACTATAGGCCTAATGGTGTTTGCTGATATACTCTAGAGGGGCGTGGCCACTTACGTGGCTTACCTTGATTTATTTGCCTCTAGTGCCTTGCTAGAGCGGAAATTATTTTTACCATAACGTTTACCATAAGTAAAATGTCATCATGCCCTCAATATTCCCAATTCAAACTCTTGAGTTTAGTTACTTGCTAGGCCTACAAAGTTTTACAAATTTTCTGAGTTTCATTTTTCAAAGTACACAATGAACTCCTTTGAAATGTGCCCACCAATAGGAAAATGATTTTCTTACAAACTTGTAATTGGGTATGCTTATGTGGGTGGAGATATTGATTTCTCAGGCTCAATCAACTTGAAAGAATTTCTTAAATGTCAATGTGGGATTCAATGTTTTAAGGCCTGGGCTAACTGTAGGCCTATTACAAAGTGGTCCAGTCCATTGTTTAGTGACTTTGGAGCAAAAGAAAAGGCAGTGGATATTAAACCGGCAATGGCAAAAATTCTGTAACCCTATTCTGCCGGTAGTCCTTTCTGACTGGTCCAAATTCATGACGTATTTATTGCTGCCCAGTGCGTGCTTGCGACTCGGTCCAGGCATTTCATTGCCGGCAATAAATACGTCATGGATTTGGACCAATCAGCAAGGACTAGGCCTACTGGCAGAATACCTTTACGGACTTTTTGCTGTTGCTGGTTTAATATCCACTGCCAAAACAAAATTACAATAATCCCACCTCTTGAGAGAGAAGGTCTTTGGAAATGACACTGAAGAGTTTTCGGAGACCAGAATGTACAGCGGTGCAGAGGACCTTGGTGTGTTCGTAGTCTTCCAAACGTTGACCCACAATAAAAGTAATGCTTGCCTTCCAGTTTTCCTTACAGAAAAATTAACACAAAAAGTCAACAGTGCGCATTTTGACTGTGCTAGTCACTAGTGATAGTCGGAGTTTGCACAACCGATGTAAAAACAGCCTGAAACATGTTGAACTCGAAAAAAGCCAATTTAAGTTAACGCAGACGACAATCAGGTGACAATATTTTGGCCTAGCCAATATTTACCTCTTCAAAGGGCGCTTGAACAATTCCTGAATCCCATCTGGATACGCCTGCAGACCCACCACTCTTTGCTCTCTTCTTCGACATTTTTAAAAAGGAATAACTTTCCGAAAATCTCGTTTAAAAGTGTCACCACAGTCACTGGTTTTGCTTCGAAAAGTTTACGAAGCAGCCATCTTGTTGTCGCACGGCTGTGTTGCTAGGAAATACAGGCTGAACAAGAGAGGGCGCTATTATTTTTGTCATACCCATGCACAGATCTTGATTGTCGTACCCTTGGCGCGAACTTCTCAGGCGTGCAGTACCAATCGCATTCGCGGTTCGCTTTTTACTTCACTCTCTGATAAAGATGAAGCACGAAACTATGTTTGAAATTAAAAAAAATCTAGAATGGGAACTCGCTTGAAGGTGTAGAAACAACTTAATACAGAAACAAGATATCCAGTTCTCTTTAATTGTTACTTTAAGGGGTTTTGACTCAACATTTATTTCCAAATTGTAATGTATTATATATCAAATTTTACACAAGGTCAATAAATGAAAGATTTTTGACTACAAGAGTGAAAATTGAATAAGACCATAAGACACTGAAATAAAAGGGGGCATATATGGAGGCATATTCAGAAGACAAAGTCTTACACAGAAATGCCATAAATACAGATGACAGATTATACATGAAAGAAAGGCAACTACGGTACAATACAGTCAAAGTAAAACAACACAAAACACGGACAAAAACAAAACAAAGACGAACCAACAGACTGAGATGTAACAAAAGCTGGAATCACCAAACAATATAAACGTTTAGAAGACCAAAAGGATGATCAGAATGATAAAAGCACTCGAGAGTCCAAGCTTGGAAGTGGTATCTGATTGTTTTATTCAAATTTCCCTCAGGCAGTCCTTTTCATAAAAAGGTGTGGCACTGTTACATAATCGATTTAAGCAGAGCAGAAATATGAGAGCGTACCTATATAAACTTTGAAGTTCACAAGCTCAAATAACAAAGGCATAAGAAGTCAGGGGATACGATCATAAATCCCTGTTTTAAATTAAAGGACACTCCATCGAGATATCAATTGTGCTACTCTACGGAATGTTTTCTGTTTAAAAAATACAGTGTGATTCACGGCCTTAAGCCCGGGTCCCCTCAAACACTGGTAACGAACAGTCCCTCCCCTTGACATCTTGTCTCTTGGAAAGTTTTATAATTTCAGACTTCCCCCAGACATCTCCACAGACTATTCTTTAATTTGGACCTAAACTGACATTTGCAGTGGCATTCTACTTTCGGACCGTTGTATCCTCATTTCCCGATATGACTGAGGTATTTAGTTCGCCCATGTCGTCCCACCACAGTCCTGGTTCCTCCGATTCCAAGTCGCTACAGGCTGACACAAAAGTCACATCATTCCCAAGACGGGGACTGCCTTTCAGCCCTCCTGAATTTCCTGCCTCTCTGAGTATTTCTTTCTCTAGTTGTGCAACTTCATTCTTCAAGTTGTCAACTCCCTTAGAGGAAGACCTTCTTTGAACCTCAATCTTTGACCTCCGACCTTCCAGCTTCTCTCCACCTGCTTTCCCCTGTCCTGCTTGGTCTTGAAGTTGCTTCTTCAGCTGCTCGTATTCTCTCTGGATGTCTTCCTCAAGAACAGCAGCCTGGTCCTCCTCACTAGTCGTAGGAGCCTTCGCTCCCTTGGTGAGCCGCGACTCGAAGTCGGCATACTCGCTGTCCAACTTCTCGAAGCGGCTCTCGATGTCTGAGTGGACGGTGTTCAGCTGCCTGATGACGCCGTGCAGCTCAGCTTTGGCCCGGATGAGCTTCTTCATCTTGTTCTCCATGCTGATGTTGTCCCGGTTCCACTGCCTCATCTTGGCCCGGATGCCGGCATTGGCGTCCGTCAGAGAGGCCACGGTGTCCTGCATTTCGGCATTCTCCCTCTGCAGTTCCCGGTTCATCTCCTTCAGGCAGGAATTCTCCTCCTCGAGCATCCGGTTGCCCAGGTACAACTCCTCCGACTTGGACCGCAACTCAGCAGCTTCGGCCTCCAACTTGCTGCATTTGTTCTTCATTTCCCCGCCCTCCCTCTCCAGGGACTTGCAGTTGGTCTCTGACTTGGCCAGATTCCGGCGAAGATGGAACAAGTTTTCAGCCAACTCCGTCCGGGATCTCTCAGCCTCCTGAAGCTCCAACTCCAGTCTTCCGGCCTCCTTCTCTGCCTGAAGCCGGCCTTTGGCGTTGGCGGCATTCTCCACCCTGAGCTTGTCCAACTCGGCGGCAACATCCCCATGTTCCCGTCTCAACCTGCTCAGTTGACCTTCAATGGAAGTCTTCTCCTTCATGAGCTTGGTGGTTCTGTTGCACTCTTCCAGATGGGACTGGTTCAGCAGGTCGAGCTTGTCCAGACACTGCTGCTTCTCTGTCTCTGCCTCCTTGTGTTTATTTTCCAGCTCCACCAACTCCCTCTCGAGCGTCTTCAACCTGCTGCTGGTTTCCGCATAGACAGCGTTGACCCTTACAAGCTCCGTTCCCAAGGATGCCTTTTCAGAAGTCAGGAGGGCGCACTTGGCGTCAAGTTTGGAGTTGACGCTATCCAGCTGTTCGATCTCCCTGTTTCTTCCTTCCAAAATGCTGTCCGTGTCTCGGATTTTTTCCTTCATTTCTTTCCTCTCCCGCTCCATCTTCATCACCCTCACGCGCAGTGACCTGTTCTCTTCTCCTAACTTCTCCATGTCCTCCTCCATGCTCCTGTAGACTTGTCGGAGGCGTTTCATTTCCGAGCGGAGGTTATGTTGCCTGTCCAGTGCCTCAAATTCCTTCAGTACGTTTGGTTCTTTCTCATTCTGGAAATGTGCAGCCTCTAATTTGAGTACGTCATTGCTGTGCTCGTCTGACGATGAGCAGGGTGGCGAAGCGGCCTTCTTTGGCGGCGAAGTCTGTCTCGATGAGCCGGACAATTTCCTGGCGAACCGGCTCAGCAAGTTGGTAGCGCTGCCTTCTGATACGCTGTCTGCATCACACTTTCCACCCTTAATCCTACTCGTCATCCGGTCCAACTGCTTCTTCAGAGCTTCATTTTCCGCGATAAATGCGGCTACCTGGTTCTGGGCATCAACACGCTCAGTCTCGGCGTCAAAGAACTGATCTTCGACTTTCTTGTGAAGTAGCTCCAGTTGCTGGAGTTCAATTTCGAGGGTTCGGATATCCTTTCTTAGCGCCTGGTTCTCTTCCCACAGCTGATGGGGCTTGGGGACGTAAACACACGAGTGGGGAAGACTCTTCTCGCAAGCGATATCTTGCACCGTGTCAATCTCATTGGTGTCTCGTTCCATTTGGCCCGTCGTGTCCCCGCCGCTCAACAGACAAGCGCCATCGTCTGCCAGCCACATGTTTTGAACGGCCTCGGCTGATTCGTGCTGAGCTTTCAGGCTGGAGCTCAGCTCGATGACGGAGTGGAACTGGTCGGAGAGTCTATCCAGTGTTGTCTGCAGCCGGTCCCTGCGTTGACCGTTGTCAGAAAGATCGTCTGAGTCGGTACTCTCCGTGTCTGTGGTCTCGTGACCGATGACGTCAAGGATAATTTTACACAAACGGGCAATGATTCGACCAAACGCTGCCTCCAACTCAATTAACTCCGATTCAAATGTGACACTGCATGGAAGACAAAACCGTGGTAAATTTTTAAAAGGAAAACATACACAATACAATCGGAACAAAAGAGGGTCTTTTTTGGTACTCACCACGTAGGTGAGCCAGGAGGCGCACAGTATACGCGCGTTTGACGCGGAGCACGCTGAGTACGCGTAACTAATTTATTCCGGCGTGTGTGGTCCTTGCGTACAGGCAGAATGCGTGCAAGAACACGCTTGTAACCAGCTGTCTTTTTTCGCCGATTGGGGGTGCACTTCAGCTGCGGGCGGATAGCGACACTACATTAAATTAAACGTCAACTGCCTTTGGTAAATGTGCAGAAAAGTGACGTCACAATGAAACGCCTCACTCAAACCGCCAATTTAATTGTATTCACCAAAATGACATACTAAAAATTGACATCATCAGTAAACACGAGCGTTGAGTGCTGTCACTTTTGACGACAGTGTTTTCAAACATGGGGGCAAACTAGTCCGATTGGTTTTATTTATAACATAAACTTGCGGTTTCTTTTCCTTTTCCCACAGAATTTAACTTTTTGACAAGAAGTTTTTAGAAGCAGTGCTCGATGTCTTTAAGCTCACTGGTTTAGGATATATAAAAGCCCAAGAAATGGCGTAAGGTAAGTTTGGTACTTTGTCACGTGTGACCAGCGAGGCAAACACTGGAAGCAAAGGTATGGAAGGGCCGCGTAGCACCGTGATCAGAATATCGACAAGAATATAATATCAAATCAGTGCTCAGAATTGAATCTGCTTGCCCTGAAGAAGGTACTCGGTTAACGAAAGCTCGGCAATCTCATGTTTCAGAGCACTGATTTGATTATACTGGTAGCAAAGGTAACCTACCCGCAGTTCCTTTCCAGCATCTCTCGTTGGTCATTCCCTCCGCCATCCCGGTCATAACTGGTCGTCATTTCTTCTCGTTGAATGCTGATGTCACGCGCATGTCGTGTCTACAAATTATAACAAAAAATGTTGTGATAAAAGGGTCTTGCATGAACTTGATATCCTTGGCCGAAAGTCCCCAAACATGCATCCCCCGACCATCACCCCGGGCCGTTTATGTCAGAGCATAAAACTGAATGTGATAAAAAGTTAACTGCCGCGAATCAATCGAAAAATTGACCAACCTTTGGACATTTCTTTGATTCTCTTCCCCACAATTTCGCTCATATGTTTATACAGGGGAGTGGAACTTACCCGTCGTTTTCCGCCATTTCTGGAACCTTTTCCCCTGAGGCATTTCTTGGCCGCGATGGCGCGGTCGTAGTACCCTTGAAACTGGGCATTCGGTCGGCCCGACCGGTCAACCACCATTCCACTATCTTGGATGTAGATCTGTATGAAATCATGTTGTTTCAACCAGTACATATATGTTAACCGTGATATGGAGTTTAAAAAAGATTAACAAATTGCGAGTACTTTGGACAACAAGAAGAGATTGGTAAACGGTTTAATTATGAACGGTCTACTGGTAAATTTGAATTTGGAAAATGCCTTGATATTTCGAAAACCGTGACGATAGTCAACAATTTCCGCATTCCCCACCCGCGTCGAATTGAGCAATCTGTCACCCACCCACCTGTCGTCCATTGATGAAGACCCTGTGCTCGTACTCCACGAGCACCACACAGCGGCCGTCCCCCGCCAGACATAGCGTCAGATCGAAGCTTCCGAAATCCTTGCTGTAAGGGAGCGAGGGGGTTGGCGCCCTCGCCTCCCTGGTTCCCTCCCCCGACAAGTTGGCAGGGCTGCGGTGCACGAACTGGAGAAGTTCCTCGTCGAAATTCTTCTCGAAGGAACTCTTCTTCAACCTCCTTTGTGTCTTGCGCCCGGGATTCGGATCGCTGGTCCGCCGTAGTCCACGACAGAGTTTGGCTGGAGAGGACGTCAAGGCCTTTAGAGGCATTTTCAGTCGATTGTGCTTGTTGCCACCCTTCAAAATCAAAAAGCTCGTGGCTTATCACTTTCAAAGTTGTAAACTATGTCTTCAACCAAATTTTGTTGGGAATTTCGCTGGTGGGGGCTTGCCTTGTGTTGCCTTAGAACACGCGCAACGTCAGGAGATTGTGAATGCCCGCGTCCCGTTTTCGAATGCGCGCGTTTTGCCCTTGTGCAAAAGGTAAAATCGGAAAGACTGAATAAATTAAAGGTGTGCAAGACGAATACAATTTTTTTTCTAAAAACAGAGAAATAGTGCAAAATGGCGGTGAACAGTGCGACATGGCGTAACATTGGCACAATATATTTTCTATGACTTTTAATCACTTTCCACGGCACAAGAAATGTAGTTTTCATTGGTGAAGACGAAACATCCCATAATGTTTCATGATCTCTGAGGATTTTCCTAACATTATTTTTGCAAACCAACAGCCTACTAGTACATTGGGATATGTTGCAGTTAAAACTCGGGTACCGGTTTACAATAATTTAGTCAGATCTATTATCCACATAATTAACAAGTGATATAATTATGATAACTTTCAATTCTGCTTCAAGATAATGAAACCGAATAGGCTTTAGGGTCACGTGGTACATGAGTATTAGATCGAAACAAACCTGTCACGTTTCGAATAAAAATGACTGATTCAACATGAACTTGCAGTGCGCCCTCTTGTGAAACTCTCCCAAACACACCTGTCACCGAACGTACCATGCATGCCACATCGTGGAAGTCCGCGATGTAGCTATCAATTAAATGTAGTACGGTTTCACCTGTACGACGCTACTGTCAACCAACCCAAAGCCTGTCGATCTATTTATTTACTTGATACTCGGTAAAACGACTGAATTAACTTATAGATTCGTGATTGTGTCTTTTCTTCGACTGGCAAAACGTCAGTAGTTTAGACGATCATCACTTTTTTAACAGGTTGTTGGCAAAGTGATACTAGGGGTGCTCGTCCTATATTATTTCCGGAATTGTGTAGAGATACACGCGTCAGTGAGTTTTGTGCTCAGCGCGCGTCTGGTGGTCGGACGGGGCGCCACGTCGGACGTCAGACTCTCACTTCCAAACGGAATTTATCTCGGAAAAATCCCTGATTTCTACGACTTAAGTGCCTGTACCGGGCAAATGGAATTTGTCGAACAGTCTGTTTCGACTCTGGTAACTTTCAGGAGAGATAACCTGCCGAAATAGCAAAAGTTTAAGCGACCGACTGACATCGGTCTGTGGAATATTATTGGTTAAAAAGTGTTCTTGGTACCGGTAGAGAGCGACACGCCGTTGTTCGCGAGTGTGTATCCCCGAGACAGAGGCCAAGTTTCCCCTTAGGAACCAACATGGCAGACGGAGGCGGCAGTTTTCAATCCTCATCGTTTGCAGACAGATTTCCGGCGACTAAGCGGCGCAAGAAAAAGGTAAGTTTGCCACCTTTTGGTTTGATATTAGATTTGCAGCTCACTGATGCAAAGGTATTTAGATGCAGTTTGGTTTAGTTTTAGGAGAAGCCGCTTCTTTCTGAGGTCGAGTTCTAGTCACTGTTGACTGAACACCGGCAACACTAGTCCCGACCATACATCATGAGGCAAAGTAAACAGTCGGTGGCATAAGCATAAGTAGCAGTGTAAACTCCAACTTATGGAGAGATTTTGATACATTCATCCGTCCTGCAAACTGTCAGTTTGATGAGGAAACTCAGAGATCAGAAACTCAAGGGAAAGAGAGCTGTACACGGATGCTGCTGGACATCTTGTGCACAAACCTTAGGCTATGGGGGATTGTATACTTGCGGACCCAATTTTTTTGACATTTCGATCTTGCAAAACTGGTTAAGTCCCCCCAAAAAGAAAGGCAACACTCTCTTTGTTGCACTGACCTTAATATTTTTGGAAATTGCAAATTGTGAGAAAATGTGACTTTTTACTGATAAACTAACCACGCAAATTTGAATTCACCATGTGGCACGTGTTAAAACACAGTTTCCCCTCAAAATTTCCCTCGAAACTCAAACCCCTGCCCTTTGTTGACAATATTAACCCTACAGTTATCGAGCATGATGTCACAGTCATCTACCAAGGTCAATTCAAAAGTTAAAATGTAACTCTCCCTTCTGTTTAATATAGGAACAGGGTCCCCAAATTTACAATCCCCAGTCTATGAGTCTGGTCAACGAAGGTGTTTTCTTGCTTTTCCTGGATACCTTTCAGGTGACTTTTAGGACATTTTATTGCTTGAAAGTTGAAGAAAGCTGTTAAGATCACTGCAGCGAAAAATTAGTGGGATGCATATACATTTATGTCTTTTCTAAATGTTCAAATCAAAAATTTTAATTTTTTGACCACTCTGGTATTGAAACGCCATCACTTTTCTGCCAGCACTGCAAATGAGCGTGTGCAGTGACTGTTTGGGGGCAAGTTTTACGTCAACCAGTCTTTGGTTCAATGCTTATACATTATTATAGTGACTTTGTGTTCATGAGATCACATTCAGACCAAGTGCTAGTTTAGACGTATGTCCTCAAAAAAACAGCTCCCGCAGCCATGGATCACTAAATGAAAGTGAAATATTACGCAATTTAAATTAAGTGGCATTGTTTCAGTGCCGGTGTTGACAAACATGCAAGATGCAACCACATGATGGCACTTAGTATACACTTTATTGAAGGTCAAAATTTTCAAATTAAAATTCCCTATTTCATGTTGAATGTTGCTGGTAGGGAAGGCTGCAGTTATACTTTGTGAAACGTTTGAGTGCGGTCATCCAGACGTACTTCCGAGCTGCAAGAAAGGTACACGTGTCAAACCATAAAGCCCTGTCCAGTAGTCCACATTTCCATTAACAAAAGGAGGCAGCCATATTTTAACTCCATACTTTCTAGTTTTGCCTAACATTTCTTGCACCAGTTAGGGAAAGAATGCAGTATGCTTCCACTTTTTGTAGTTTTATTTTGCCTGTCTGACAACAGCCATGGAAAACGTTTTGAGGGGAGAGAATGAAATCATTGAACTTTTCAAATTCATGTTGAAAACACTTCGAAATTTATACTCCCTGGGGCTCTATGCTCAACCCACAAAGTGGTGTAGTAATACTCTGCTTCACCTATAAATTGATATGGCATTTTAATTCTTCAGGTTATTTCTTGAAGGAAAAGGGCAAGGTTCATGAAAACCTCAAATGAAAAAAATATATATATTTAAATAGTAGGTAATTTTAGTACCAAGATAAATATCCCAGAGTGTAAATTACATGTGTGGTCATGCACCTGAACTGTTACTCGTTAACGATGCTCATACACTAACATACACACGTACACTGGAATAGATATTATGTACTTCTTTTGTGCCCACAGCTGTTTGATACTGCTGAAGAGAATGGAACATTAACGACCTTTTGTCTGTTCTGTGGGCATGTGGGGACGGTAATAATTAGTAACGAACTTGTGGCATATACATGCAAGGCCAAGTCCAGCTATTGCACGTTAACCATTCACTTTTGCAGCCCAGCTGTTCTTGTGGATATTCGGCTATGCTGAGCATTTGTAGGAGCCTACGTATGTGTACATGCAGTAAAACGCCAGCCGGGAACTGATCCGACCATGTCACGAAGTGTTTGTTGTAACAGCGACTTGAATAAATACAGAGCCATGCGCGGGGAGTGCATGTTACCCCTTATTAGCTTACATTTGAGTATAAACTTTAATGCTTCCCCGATTTTCAGTTTCATGGGAGTGTGTGGGACTTTTTAATGGGCTGCGTGGGTTTGAAATGTGCAGAAGGTACCACAAATGACGTGTTACGCTATTTACAGTGTCGTTTATGGGCATTTCGGGTAAATCTAACAATCTCATTTGTGGGCTGTGAAAAACAGAAGGTCCGTCAGACTGGAATTACTGAATAATTTTCAGTACCAGTAATGACATAGAATGTTGTTAACTGAGTGACATGTAACTTTGAGTGAAATGTATCAAACGGTGAAGTGTCACATACATGTAGTGTGTTTTTGTACACATGGCAACCTTCTTAACAGAAATCTTGTGAGACGTCTGTAGTGTCCAGCTATTGTGATAAAGCCAAGCGAAGAACAGCAACTTCTGTCATTCAGGGTCTCGTTTTGGGACAGCGAACGGACAAGGAAGAGAATAGAGAATCTGGTTATTGCTTGGGAGGGGGACAAACCCATCTTTTGTATGTGGGTGATTCCAGAAATTAGGGGTCCATTTTTGTGTGTGTCCCTGTCACATCTGACATATGAGTTTGTAAGTTCAGAACACATTTTCTAATTTCCAAGAGTGATGAATTAATGCAAATTACCTGCCAAGGAAATAGTAGCAGTTTGAAATCATTTTGGTGATATTTCCATGTCATGTAAGAAAGGTCAGATGTAACAGAACACAGATATGTCACACTTTTGGACCCCTAATTTCTGGAATTACCCACATGTACATAGGAATCGAAAAAGCCTTTGTTGCAGTGACGTTGGTTGGAGTTGAACCAGGGGCTACTTTAGTGCAAAGATGCACTCAAAAAATGACTAATGCATACTTCTAAATTACCCCATCACTCCTAGCGCCATGCGTAGAAGTGTTGCCTTTTAAAAAGAGAGATGGCATGTATTTGGACAACTACAAATAGTGTATGTATACGCATCTTGCTTGGACGCCAAGGTTGGGTCATGCCATCAAAGTTTAGTATTCCCACTATTCTGGTAACTGCCTTGTTGGTAATTAAATATAAAAAAGGCAAGTTTGTGAGTTGCATGTACTATCGGTTCAAGTTTGTGTTCCTTCTCCATTCGCTTTGCATTTCCAGTGGGCAATGGACGACGCAAACTTTCTTGCGACCAGATTTCTACTCCCAGTTTGAATGTGTCAGTCAGTAGAGGCATAATTGCCAATGATACCTTCGAAATCTAACACATCTGAGCACGACCACAATTGCTGCCAAACCTGAACAATCTCCGACTCCGTAGCTCCCCCCCCCCCATTTTTTTAATCCACTCCATAACAACTGCTAAGAGCCCCTCTTCCTCTCTCTCCACCCCTCCTGGCTAGCAATCGGCGGTGCGGTGCTCTCGCCGGGAGCAATATCTGCTCAGTAAGAGGATTATTACAGCCCAGGCTGTGAGATTGCTCAGAGATGCCGCCTCTCATAAACACGTGTAGTCGCTGGATCTCTTCACTTAGGCATTCTTTACGCCTCGCAAGCTCCTTCCCTCCTTGCATCTCTGCATGCTAGCCGCTTCCCAGCTTGGGCTTGGGTTGACTGAACATGATTAATTTAGTCAAAAAAGGTGGATGTGTGTTCATTTACATGTATTCAGCTGCTTTACAAATTGCGTACGAGTCAGTTGTTTTTGTTTTTCGTAGCCGCACTCTAGGTATGTATGTACATGTTAGCATTTATGTACTTTGACGGTTTCTTACAGTATTTCTTACAACAAAAAAAACACACAAAAGAAAAACCACGGACAGTCTCAAAGATGCATGCATTGAAATCTTGGCCTCATGAGAACTTCTTAACAGTGATGAGTTCTCATCTTGTGATGCTTGAGAGTTGAGACACGTTATGAAGCAACACTTCTTGTATTGAGACTACTAAAGCAGCCGTCTGGAATCAGTGGAATTGTACGGCTGGGAATGAGATAGGCCTACTGTGTACAGGTAGCAGTATCAAATGTCTCATTACAAGAAGGATTCTGGTGATGGGAAATTTGAAAGTATTTTTGAGTCAGTTATCGAATATATATGCTGCTGTGAACAACATTTGTAACAATCATATTTTTTTATTTTCATTTTTTATTGTTTTTTTTTTGTTTTGGCCAGTGGCACTTCTGTTGGCTTTATCTTGCGAGTCCTTTTTGAGTTGATTAGATATGGTCGGGCTGGGAAAAAATGGGAGGATGCAGAAATTTCTCCTGGGATAGTTTTGTGGAACTGTATGAATATCAACCAACAGAACTGTCATCATGCTTGCATCAAATTTACATGTTTCCCGTGAATGCTTCAAGACTGTGAACAGTTTTTTTCACATACATTTGTGAGTAATCCACATGAAACAGCCTTGAGTCCACTACCATCATTCAGTTGAAATGATTAAAACCTGTCCTTGTCAACAAAACCGCTACCAAGGACTGGTCAAATACACGTACAATGTACTTGTACACAGTCAGGTTTTCCCCCCACAAACTGGCATTAATTATTAAACCTATTATTGTTACTCTGACGAACAGGAATCAAATGAAGAAGCTCTAGTCATCTCATGATTTCAGCTCTGAAGATTGCCACAAAATAATTGATGCCCCATGGTTCTGAACAGCTGGATCAGGCATGGTTGATTTAAATTATAGTTTGATTTTTCCTTGATGCATGTTGTAAAGGTTGGGGGTGAGTTATTCTGGCAATGATTGTCATTCATATCTA